AAAGAATTGACGAAAAACACCGAAAAGTTAAAATTATTGGGCATTCAATCTAATTTTTTAAAGAATAACAACAAATGTAAAATTTATTGATAGACTCAAAAAAAGGTTTTTGTTTGTTAACATGCAAGCTTACATGACTCAGCTTCTGGTAAATCCACTTGAAGCATAAAACACGTTAATATGAGTCATTGAAATCTATCATCATTTTCGTAATGTTATGGATTAAAGAATTAATAATATTAATATTATTATTATTAGGTGAAATTAATTGATTTGCGTATAATGAGTGCAAAAGTGCAAGAAACACCGAAATGAATACACCACTAATCATCATTGTTATAAAAATTTGTTAATAGAAGCTCCTTCTACTGGTCCTGGAAATATATAAATTTCATCTCTCATACCATACTTTTTTAATAGCCAATCATCTGGAACAGCACAGTAACTGCCTGTGGGGTCAACATCCCCTAATGTTGGTACTTTGCTTGGTCTTCCAAATTTACTCCTCCATCTGAATGCAGCGAGCTGACCTAAATAGACGAAAATAAATATGGGCCAAACTCAATTAAAAAAACATAAATTAACTCATTGAAAAAAAAAAAAAAGAAAAAAAAAAGATGCATCACTTTTTAAGAAAGCACGATCGTGCGCTCTTTTATTTTTTTTTTCTTTCGAAAACAAGAATAATCATGTAACTTTTCGCATAAAAAGTGGCGTCCTCGTAAACATATATTTTTCACGAACCACGATAATGTATTTAGCACTTGGAAAAACTGTGTAAACGAGCTTGCGAATGACGTACACCACCGAATAACTCACGTATTCATGTATGTATGTAGTGAATGTGATTCACTACATATATTTAATATTACTATCGTAGATGCCGGTGGCCGGCATAGCGTATAGATTTTTTGCGTTTGAATGGGTGATAGATTTCTGTTGACATCCACGCGAAGTGTAATTGTGAAAGCGAGTGCAATTTTTGTAAGCTTTACTCTGCGATTAGTTTTGGGGGCGGGGGAAAATTCATATTCGACCCGCTGTAGAAAACTATTAGGAGAAAAAAAAAAAAAAAAAGAAGAAGTAATGTCGAATGAAACTGCGACGATGTGATCGTCGCGGCGTTGTGACGTGTATACGTGCGCGGCCGCAGGCATGCGGATGATCCCTTTTTAATCGACGATACGAGATGGGAAGGCGTAGCTCTCCCCTTAATTTTTTTTTTGTTTTTGTTTTTTTTTTTTTTTTGAGAAAGAAGGAGGGAAAAAAAAAGAAAAAGAACGGTGTGCGAGAGAGCAAAGAAAAAAAAAGCGTAAGCTCGGATGATGCATTATCTTATACGAAAATAAATGAAAAATAATCACGATGACGGTAATGATTATTGTAATAACGCCATTTTTGTACTGTTACGACGTCAGCAGTTTTTTTTAATATGACGATGGTATTCCGATGTTGTAGCATGGAAAAAACATTTTTTAATAAAACATTTTTCATACGGACACTGTATATGTATGTACGCACATGTGATGCGAGTATTATTGTTTTGTTAATGTTTATCCGCTTGTTCCTCTTCCTTTTGTTTTATTTTGTTGAAAATTTTCCCATTAAAGGAGCCAATGAACAAAATAATATGAAAAATAATGTCTTGAGCGTCTATGGCATTCTCCAGTAAAATTTTACTCGTACACCAATATTGGAAACTATTTAATATCTGTAAAATCAAATTAGTTATCAATTAATTGTCGTAAAGTTTATCCTGTAACTGTTAATTTCTGTTATTATTTTAACATTTCGTATCCTATACCAATTTTGATTTGATGTAAAGTGATTGTACATGTAACCATCTACTTATAAACTAGCTTTCACTTGACAAGTACTAATTTGATTTTTATAGTCCCATAAAATTCAGGGACTGAAAACATAAATATTTATTGCGATATTCTTTGAAGTTGGAAATAAATTTTTTTACGCACACATTTGGGGCACTGATTGTTGATAAAGTGCAAAACCTTGGTTAATTTTTTATTAAAGTTTATACTCACCTAGGAAAAAAAAATTCAATTTTCCAAGATGGTAAATTTTAAACCAATAACCCAATGAATTTTTTTCCAATTTTCGTCACACTCAACTGTTCATGTGTATATACCAGTGTAAATTCTCCCGAGGGAAAGAAGGAGCCAAAGGAAAAAAAGAAACCCACTCGCCGAAAGCACAGGTAAGGCCCTCGTCCGATTTCTGCGTGACAGGTTTTTCGTCGTGGTCGTCGTCGTCGGCTGTAAGGTAAAGAGCACACCGCCACAGAGAAAGAGCCTCTCCTGAGACGACGATTAACTTGGACGTGCTCGCGAAGCCACCCTGGCGTTTATAAATTGTGTTTATTCCCTGCCGTAACGTGTACTGTTCTTCTACTCCCTCCACTCCACTTCTTCTTCTTCTTGTTGCAAGCACAGCAAGGATTTAACGGGGATTGGATGGAGAGAAAGGAAAAAAAAGGGGGGGAAGACGTAAGTTTTGGTGTGTGCTGCTTATGTAATTGCGCTGGAATCTGCATGCATCGATTTTTCAAGATTACCGCGCGTGTGAGTGTGCGAAGGGAGACCGGAAGAAAAATACCAGCTGGCGCTCTGTGCCCTGAGATGTTGATACGAGTATACGGTTGCATTTTTTTGTACTCTGCATTGGGGAACATGGTGAGGATGCATTTGGCAATACGGTTTTCGTGTTTTTTCTTTTTTTTCCAGTTCAATGCTTCTACTTTTTTCTTGTGTTTAACGAAATCGTGAAGTTGCACGAAAAAAGAAATATGTAATACCATCTTTCTGCCAATGTAAATTTGTAAAAATTGTGACGACATGTACATCTTATTACTCTGTACTTTTTTTTTGTATGATTTATGTAGGGATGCATGTTATTATTAATCATACCTGATGACATATCACTTCAGGCAGTTCAATTAAATAAACGAGCTATCAACAATGGATAACATTGTATGTACAAAATGGATTCTAATTTTGGGGCGGAAAATCGTGATCGTCAAAATAACACAGTCCAAGTCGATTGATCAACATCATTACTTTTACTGCGATAACAATATTTACAAATAAAATAACAATAATACGTGTATGCAGCTCATATCGGTAACAACACAATTATTGCATAATTCACGCATTCCACTGGCACATTTGCCTGTGCCCTTTTACATTGAACGATATAAAAATCGAACACTCGCCACTTCATAGTTGCCAATCGGCAAAAAGGCACATTTCGATCGAATCGTTGGGATTTTGTTGATTAGAAAAAAAAGAGGCAATTTTTTTAAGTCAAATTTTTTCAATCTATCGTTTTTTCCAGGATAAACACCTAAATCGGTAACTTTTCAATTCAGAACTTACGACACCACAATCAGTAGACTTTTTAATCGATACCAATTCGTATACAAACGTCGATCGATCGTTTTCAATGTATTTTTTGTTTCGTCAATTAATTCATACACCATAGCGAATAAGATACGCGCTTGAGTGTACGTGTCCGTATAAAATGCCAAACTGGTAAAGCTTTGCGTATGATTAATATGCATTTTTTTTTTTTTTTTTTTAATTTCATTTATGAATTATTCAACGAACGATAAATAATGAAGGTTTCAATAACGATGCGTTTATTGGTGCTTCGGGAATCATGTCTTCGAGGCTTTCGAGACTCTCGAGACCCTCGAGTCTTTCGACGCCAAGGAGGTCCGTGACGGTGGCCGGCTGTCCGGTTTGTCCAATCTGGAAGGAAATAAAATTCATTTGTGTTTGTGTAAATAATGCGAGATGATGTTAAATGGCTACGAAAAATTAATTTGTAGCAAATTTAAGTGTATGTTGAACACGTGTGGGTATTAAAATAATCGACAAACTGGTCGATCAATTTATTCCCTCAATCAGTTCTCTCACTCACTTTACCGGTTTGGTTTAATATACATGTATATGAAAAGGGTAGTATAATACATACGGATATAAGTTAGTTGGCAGTAAAGTTGAGAGATTTTTTTTTCTATTTTGGAATTGATATTTTAAATTTTTTTTCCTTATTATTATAAAACCGATAATGTGTCTTGTATCATAATNATTTTTTTTTTTTTTTTTGTACAAACGTAATTGAGTGGTGTAAGTGTGTGTATGTGTATGCGATTTTTAAAAATCACGCAACTTGCAATATTTGTTTTTGTGTTATCCATTTCGGGAAATGGAATTATTCTGATTTTACGCTCTCAAGCATCGTGTACTCTTTATCAATTTTTTCTCAGTTTATTTTCGCTCGTCGCTCATTATGATAATAATTTTTTCTTCCTTTAATCACTACTTTATGTTTAACGAATGGACTGAATAATACATGGTTTCATCTTCTTTGTCGTTTCGATCGTCACACTTATTGCGTGCAATGATATTATTATTTTTTTTTTTTACTCCTGACATGTCTCGAGTGTAGCGTTCGTTGCATGTCTTTTTCGGTGTAAGGATACAAGAAGGATGAAGAGAGAGAGAGAGAGAGAGAGAGAGAGAGAGTTCGTGACCTCGTTCGTGCGCTCAGTTGGATTCGATAGAAAAAAAAAATTTTTAGTGTCAATGGAGAACATTTTTTCTTACATACACGTGCCACAGCGCACGATAATGTTGTGTTAGCTTATTCCTCTGCTTTGCGTTTTCTCCGTTGTACACTCGACATTTTTCTCGGGGTGGAGAAACCAGTGCAATTTTTAGTAATAAATTTTTGCTATTGTTTTTTTTTGCGAGTCAAAAAAATGACGATACAAATTCAGTTAAATTCTCAAGCTACCAGCACTTTGTACGTTAATTTGAACAGTAACATTTGTGATTGTTTTTACGAATTTTTTGTCCGTACATTGACACAGTACTTCATTTTAAACATAACATTTTGATTAATATTAAGGCGATCGAATCATAATATTATATCGTATCAACATTGACTGTAAAATGTACTTGTAAAACGCTGTCAATTCATGAATTCCTACAAAAGTGTAAAGAAAAATAATAATAGAGAAAAAAAAAGAGAAAGAAATATAACAAAGTAAGCCTGCGTTGCACGCAGTTAATATATAAATAGTAAATCTATCGCGCGTGTATCTATATAACAATATCCACCCCACGAGAGAAGAGATATGTCGGAAAACGTTGAACGACAGAAAAAAAAACTTATGAAAGAAAATAGAGATCGATTCGAGCTAAGCGCGTGTTCGTATCAGGTCTGTGATTCAAAGTGTTCGCGTGTGTTGGAGAGAGAAGAAAAACGTCTATATATACATACATATTTAACATTGACATGTACGAGCACGCATGGCGTGCGCTTTTATTTTGCATGGATTTTTTTTTTTTTTTTTTTTTCGTCAAGCGCAATGATTATCAATTAAGGATATTATCGACTACTTAACATGATATAAAACACTATAATTGAGATGGAGAAAAGGAGCACCGGATGAGAAGACGAAGAGTCGCTTTAAAACTTGTATGCTTTGTTGTAGTTTTTTAAACACAGATTTCGCGAGTTGCAATATCCACGGCGTGCGTATATATGTACTACTTTTGCAATATGCGTTCGTGTACACGTGAATGTGCTTATGTAAAGTAAAATTGGAGTAAAATTGAAATTACTCGCTTGTTAGGATATATACTTACTCGAGTGGTGGAAACGATGTTTGCCAATTTGTTGATCGATTGTTTAGATTTTTATTTTAGACATGAGAAGTTTTATTCCAACTATACTGAAGAGAAAAAAAAAATCAATGATGTACAGTTTTTAATGGAGGCGTATTTTTTTAAAACTTTTTATAGCATTTCCTACGAGCGTATTGATGCTTTACGGGAGAAAAATAAAAGAGTCAAATTCAAATGGTAACGTGATATTAATAAAGTAAGGAATTTTTCTAAAAAAAAAAAAAAAAGAAAAACAAGGTTGATCTTGATTGTAAATATTCATTGTTTTTTCACTTACCTCCACGATTTTAAATAACAATAAAAACAGCAACAACAACAATAATAATAGTAACGATAAAAATAGTAACGACAAGAATCTCTGGATGTGAAAATTCAAGAGCTATTTTCAATACTAATATTTTGCGTAATTTTTTCTACAAAGAAACTTTTCCACATGTAAAGAAAAAGAAAAAAAATCTTTGATGATAGTAGTCTAGAATGATTTCATGTGCTTGCTAAAAAAATCTGCATTAGAAAAAAAAATAAGAGTAAAAAACATCGAAATCTGTGGCATTGGATGATTACAAAAGCATACATTTCTCCCGCAAATGAAATTCGCGATCGAAAAAACAAAATAAGCTCTTAGCATTTGACCGCGAGTAAAATTTAACTGAAAACAAAAAAAAAAAACAACAAAATAAAAATAGTGAAGAAAAAATAAATCCCTGACGAGGGTTAAACAAAACACAGTCAGAGAAGAAGCGCCTTTCGAATCGTTAACGAACCCTCTACAACTAATTGTAAGACTAAAATTAACTCTTAAAGTATAAATAATCAAAGACTGACAATTTCACGCGTTTCCTCGAAAGAACCCAAAAAAATCTGAAAAAGAACACGAGCGAATCGTCGCCGGATGTATCGACGTGTTCTTTTTTTTTCCTGTAGAAGAAAGAGCGTGTTCTCGAAAGCGCGTGAATGCAACAATTGGAAGACTGCAGTTGTAAAAAAAATTTTTTTTTGAAAACGAAAAAAAAGTTACATAGTAACGGGAGGGCGTTGCAAAAAAGCTGAACGATTGAAAAGCGAGAAACGTGTGACGTGCTAGCCGAATCTCTCGATATCGAACTCGAACGCGAAGCACAGCCCACGTACTTCGTAGTTACATTAATTTGTAATCGTCGGGTTATACATACATATTATTAATGCAATTATGCAAGCGTTCGATCGGCGCGTTTACGCGTACTGTAAGCGGTGAATTTGCAGGTTGTAATCAATGTTGATATCAGCCGTGTAGTGTGTTTGAAGGATTACCGATGCTTGCTCGCGTCGATCTTTTTTTTATTTTAATTTTATTGTGTGAAAAATTTTGTTGGCGTGAGAAAAAAAAGCCATCAAATTATAAAAAAAAGCTCGACGAGCTTCGGTATATCAATGCAATTCAAAACACTCGATAAATATCGTGACTTCATGGAGGATGATTATTTTTGTTCTATCAAAAGCTAGTCAATTGAATGTTCTTTTTTTTTTTTTTTTTTTTTTTTTTTTTTTTTTTTTTTTTTTTTTTTTTTTTTTTTT